TTCAGCGGTCTAAGCGTAACAGACGTGGGGCTGTGCGCCTCAGCTGTGGAACAAACAATGTACTTCAATAAAGACTTTTGTAAATAAAGTGGACTTGGCGTTGGTCTCTTGTGAGCTGGGACCTGAGGCGGCCCTGACACATACGCCTTTCAAAATCCTTTAAAAATACTTGTGCGATGGCACTTAAACAAACAAAAAATGCATTTAGTGGAAATTTAAGAATTAATTTTAAAAGACATGCTACTAAAATGGCAGGCTCAAATCCTCCTTAAAGTTTTGCTTTCAGCACAGTTTGGTGGCAGCTCTGCATTCCTCAGCCTTGTGCAAGTGTTTCTCAACTTTCCAAGGGAACATGAGACACAAGTTTGAGAAATTAGGTGAAGTAAATTTGTGAGTCATGCCTACGGATGCAACAATCCATCAGTTTTGCTTCTCTGTTTCTCATTTTACAAGTCTTAATTACATTTCTCTACATTTGTGATTATTGTTTTTTTTAAAAAATCCCCACGAAAACTACTTCAACATTTTAGTGCAGGCATAAGCAAACTCCAGCCCTCCAGATGTTTGGGACTACAATTCCCATCATCCCTGACCACTGGTCCTGTTAGCTAGGGATGATGGGAGTTTGCCTAGGTCTGTTTTAGTGTGAATTTCTTCTAATCAACATACTTTTTGTGTGATTACACATTTGTGTACATTTTTGCAACCTAATATGATGCATTTTTTGGAAAAAAAAGGTGGTTGGTTGGAAAACTCAGCTATCATGTTATTTTGGAAAGTGCAGATTTGATATACAGCATTCGGATTTAAATGTGAGCTGAATCAACTCTCTCCTCCCCCCCCCCCATGCTAAGTCATGACATTTTTATAAATGGTGTAAAATAGACTCTTGACTAGTACAGAGGAAGAAGGAAACGAGTCAGCTGGCAAAATTGTGAGGGATAAGTGATACAGAAGACATGAATAACTGCTGTAAAATAGCATTATTTTGCAATTGCATTATTTCCCCAGCAACTCTCTTAATGTTATAAAATAGGAAGGAAATTCTGTTGTACTGCTTGTTTTCATATAGCACTTCCCCAATGCTTTGCCATCAGCAATTGTTGTTGTTTAGTCGTGTCTGACTCTTCATGACCCCATGGACCAGAGCACGCCAGGCATTCCTGTCTTCCACTGCCTCCCGCAGTTTGGTCAAACTCATGTTCGTAGCTTCGAGAACACTATCCAACCATCTTGTCCCCTGTCGGCCCCTTCTCCTTGTGCCCTCCATCTTTCCCAACTTCAGGGCCTTTTCCAGGGAGTCTTCTCTTCTCATGAGGTGGCCAAAGTGTTGGAGTCTCAGCTTCAGGATCTGTCATTCCAGTGAGCATTCAGGGCTGATTTCCTTAAGAATGGAGAGGTTTGATCTTCTTGCAGTCCATGGGACTCTCAAGAGTCTCCTCCAGCACCATAATTCAAAAGCATCAATTCTTCGGCGATCAGCCTTCTTTATGGTCCAGCTCTCACTTCCATACATCACTACCGGGAAAACCATAGCTTTAACTATACGGACCTTTGTTGGCAATTATGTTGGCAATTATGGGAGGTCAATTTACTGAGCCACCTTGGCATCTGACACTTTGTCCTTTCAAAAGTGGCTCAGTTGAAACATTCGCTCACATTCTCCCATACTGTAATTTTTATAGGGAAATAAGGTGGTTTGCCTTGATACTGCAACACCCAATTTCACAATTCTGGTCTGTGGACCAAGCAAAATTATCTCCTCAATTACAGAAGTACGGCCTGAGGCAGTGGTTAGAGTGCTGGATGGACCTGGGTTCAAATCGCCACTCGGCCATGAACCTTGGGCCAATCACTGCCTCTCTCAGCCTAACCTAACCTGTTGTTGTGAGTATAAAATGGGGGGTGGGGAACTATGTACACCACCCTGGACGAAAGGTGGGATAAAAATGTAACAAACAAACAAACAAACAAACAAACAAACAAACAAACTATAGATAGGACATTTCATGTATATTTTTTATTTCATTGCCTTACTGTGGAAGGGATGATGAAAAATCGAACTCGTACCGTGTTGGAAGATTGATTTTGTCTTTTGCGTATGCAGCAAAACAAGACACCGCCAGGAAACAAGAAGGGAAAGACCAGCACAACTGAAAATTTATGTCTGGTGCAAGAATGCTCTGTGCAGAACTGACCAGGCCTACTGAAAATGACATGGACATGGAGGTAGCGGGCTGGGCAGCAAAATGTTGCAATGCATCCTCTTTCCTAAAAGGAGAGTTCTGGGTCAAGTTTCCATCCTTCTTTCTTTGCAGCACCAGGGGAAGAACCTGGGAAGTGGGAACAGGGTACAGGATAAGGGACCCTCCATTTAGTATAGAACAGAAGTCCCTGGGCTGCAAGTCTCATCAGCCCCAATGGGCATGGCCAGTGGCCAACTATAATGGGATCTGTCATCTGGGGTTTCTCATGTGAGGTCTGAGAGCTTTGCACATATGGTCCACAGCAGTAACTCTGCAGAGGCAGAGCGCCATAGCTGTGTGTGTGTGTGTGTGTGTGTGTGTGAAGAAAAAGAGCGGACACAGCAGCTGCTTCTTCATTCTTAGAAGTTGGTGACCCACTTGGAAGGTGAGTGAGATGGACCGGAAGTGACAGGCGAGGAGGATCTGCCTTACTTGTAGGGATTAAGAGCGGTGGACTTGTAATTTGGTGAACCGGGTTCGCTTCCCCGCTCCTCCACATGCAGCTGCTGGGTGACCTTGGGCTAGTCACACTTCTCTGAAGTCTCTCAGCCTCACTCACCTCACAGTGTGTTTGTTGTGGGGAAGGAAGGGAAAGGAGATTGTTAGCCGCTTTGAGACTCCTTAAAGGGAGTGAAAGGCGGGATATCAAATCCAAACTCTTCTTACTGGTGGCTGTAAGATATGCTTATGTGGCTGCCACCTGGTGGCCCAAAAGAAAAGTTGGAACTGAGCATGCTCAAGGCTGTCAACCCCTGGGAATAAATAATTATTATTATTAATGGTGGGGGGTAGTAACATTAATTTTTTTAAAAAAGAAAAATTTGCTTTATTTATAAATGTCAGCATATTGTCCCCGAGGTTTTACGATTTTCTCCCTTAAAGCTTATAAGTTCCGAAGAATTCAAACCGTAGCATATTTCACAGGAGGCATTTGAATGTTGTCGTGATCATTTAGGTGCATGATGGCGAGGAAATTTGCGTAGGTATACAGTATCTTGAGCTGGAGTAGAATTTTGTCTTGGAACTTGAATCATCCTAAACCTAACTCTGTTCACTCAAATTGCACAACTCATTTGAGATAGTTATGCTGACAGACTAAAGAATGGTGGCTTTAAGCTAATGAATTTACTCTTAATATCTGCAACTCCTGCAGTTGATGGGGAGATTGCAGGCACTGAAATTGTATGTTGTCTCATTTCGTATTAGCATCATTGCCTTTATAAAGTTTTCACTCACATTGTGACAGTTGATTCCTAAGAGTTTTGCTTGAATATAGTCATGCTGAGAAGCTCATTATACTGAAAGCTAGGAGAAGGGTGCCTTCTTTTGATAGCAACTGTAACGTTATTTGTTTTTATTTTCCGTGCATAGAATAATGTTGACAAAATGACTCTTTAGTGTGGAATAAGTAATTGCCTATTAACTACAACAGCAGCTCCAATTATTAATTTCTCTTGGAGAGGTGTGTCTATACCAAATAACAGTTTCTAAACTGCCTCTTCCTTTTAAACCTGAAAGATCAAGAGCAAGAATATAATATTGTGCATTCTTTGTGGCATTTCATACTTTTTATTATCAATTTAAAACTTAAAATATACGTAAAGCCTATTTTTATTGTCCCCCCCCCAAAATAATTACTTGGGCTCTTGTAAGATAACATTTATATGCTGCCTATTGGCCCTCAGAGTGACCCAAGGTGGGTTACAACAAATATATACAATAACAACTGAGAAGAATATCTTAAAAGGATTGCTGAAAGGCAGCATAAAAAGGAGGATAATTTAAATGCAGTTTTTAAAAAATCTTAAAAGCCTGGCAGAATAAAAATATATTGGCTGCCTGACTGAAAGGCAATTTTCCTCAGCGGAACCTTTAAGCGCACCACAAAATTTGGCTCTTCACGAAAACCCAGCGAAAACTCGAAAGGCGTTCCTTTCCCCTGAGAAATTTTGGTGGTCTTTATCAATGCTCTTCTTGATTCCCTCAGATGTTCTGTGCCAGCAACAAATCTCCTCATTCAGTAAGGCTGCAGCAAGTCTGCCATTCCTTCCTTCCTCACAGGCTCCTCTACCACTTGTGTTGGATGGGTTGCTTTTCCACATTTTGAAAAATTGGGTACTAATGTGCAAGTGCTTTGTGCCTTGATTTTTGTGTGTGTGTTAAATGGCGATGACTTGTAGAGAGACAGAGCAAGCAAGTTGCCAAAAAATGTGTGAGGGGGAAGAGTCGTTGGGCCCATCTGTTTTTACCTCAGAGGTAGGGCATCTGCTTTGCATTGAGAAGCTCCTATGGCAATTCCAGGTCAGGCTAGAAAAAGAAATCCTGAAATCCTGGAAAGCTTCTGCCTGTCAGTATAAACCAGTGTTTCCCAAACTTGGGGGTCTCCGGCTGTTTTTGGACTACAGTTCCCATCATCTTTGACCATTAGTCCTACTAGCTAGGGATGATGGGAGTTGTAGTTCAAAACCAGCTGGAGACTCAAGTTTGGGATACACTGGTATAAAACAATACTGAGCTGGGTGGGCCAATGATCTGACTCGGTATAAGGCAGCTTCCCATGTCACTATCATTAGGATGAAAAACGACTCAAAAAGGCCCTGATCTGGAAGCAGCCAAGAACCCTCAACGCAATGTCAAAACACCACTGTCTTTTTCAGGCATCCTCCCCTAGTCAGGGGAAGAGCAGGACAGTGCTCATTGACACATTAGAGCTTTTCTTATATTTGTACAGATTCGAGGAATACATACAAGATATATTACATGAATACTGATTTTTTTTAATTGGTTTGTCTTTGAATACTGTAGAAAGGACTCATAAAAATAATATTCACACTTTGTCTTAGAAAGTTCTCCAGATGAAAGTTTTCTTTTCTCACGTGTACACGACAAAACGAGAGCAAATCCAGAAACAAAAGAAGATTTAAAAAAAATAAAACCAACACAACCGTAATTCTATGTTCGACACAAAGGTGTAAAACATTTAACGCTCACTGAAAAGAACATTCACACTCACATTCTAAAAATTATATTTCACAGATAATGGTAAATCAATACAATAGGTTAATTCACTACAATTAAAGAACAATCCACAGACATATCATAAAATGCAGTTTGTGGCAACAACTCAGCTACCATGCCCTCCTAAAGAGCTTACTACCATACCTTTAAAATAGTTAATTATTGTTTTTTTTTAAATTAAACCCTTATGAAGTAAACAGCCTATAAAGCTAAGAGAAAAACCTAGACCTCACCAACCAATTGATGCCAAATTAGCAATTAAACCCACAAGTATTAGCTCCTGTAGTAAACACAGCACCTTGCTGTTAAGTCGTGAAAAGAGCTCATTGGTCTTTTCCCTTTTCTTCCATTTCTGGAGTTCCAGAAATGTTACATATGCCCCTTTGGCAGGGACCCTTTAATGATTGTTACACTGTTCCCTGCATGGTCACATATACGTGACCTGCCCATATGATACTATGCTTTACCTGGTACAAAAATCTGGGTGGGAGCAGGCCATTTGCAGCCCCACAACCCAGTTCTACTTATTTTGAGCAAAACTTTCTTGTGACAACTTGGAAAGACGTTGCTTCCTTTCCACTGATCTTTGAGTGGACCATTGCGCGATTGCGCGTTCCATCATTACTTCTGCTGCTACAGAGGTTCTCATGGTCAGGAACAGCCTTGTTGCTGTTGTTGTAGAGATCAAATCAGGAGCACAGCCGTTCAGGCACAGATTCCCTATCCACCAAGCCACCCTAGGTGCCGGTTGGAGGAAGGAACCGCAGGCAATTTGAGTAGGGACACTAGCAACTCTGTTGACCGTTAGATGATCATCAAATAACAAATCCAGTTCTGCTGCAAATTTTTCACACCTGCTACACTCCTCTCTGAGAAACTATGTCTGCCCTGATCATCTGCTCTAGCCCAGGGAGGGGGAACCTACAGACCTCCAGGTACTGCTGAACTACAACCCCCATTATCACCCTGACCATTGGTCAAGGGTGATGCGAGTTGGTGCCCACCAGGACCAGGAGGTCCACATGTTCTAGGTATCTGCCAGCAATTTGGCTCCAGACTTGGCACAAAGCACACAGCTACTCAGTCTGCTCCGTGGAACCTGTACGCTATGGAAGCTGCTTGCTAGGAGTGGGGTTGTTCTCCTCTAGGCTGCTCTGTGTTTTATCCTGGCCTGTGACCGTAATAAAGTTCATTTATTCTAGGCTGCTCTGTGCATTGTCCTGGGTGTTCACAGACCCCATAGTGTCCACATCAAAAGCCACAAGAAAACCTTGATTTGTTTCAGATAGGCTCCATATTTTCTTTCTATCAACATGCTACATTAAGTCCCTGAATCCCGTGTTGAGATTCCCCGTGTCTTTTTATTTACAATCTATTTATTTTGTGTGCGAGAAGGAGTGATTCCAGATAGGGACCATAATGCAGGGAAGGGGGTGCAATTTACTGCACCATTCAGTCACTGAAAACACACTTCTTGCCTGAAGCTGCTGTTTGCAGATAATGGCAGCTTGGGGGGGGTCAACTTCACAGAGGGGTAATTTTCAGGAGGATAGTAGCACATGGGAGAAGGGGTAAACCTCAGCTTTTTATTGCATACACATGGGAAATGCCAAGCATGATTTTAGTATAACTTGAAGCTTTGACCACCACAGGCCCATGTTTCAGATTGTTCCTGCACTAATCACAGAACCTGACAACAGAAACCCTAGACAGTGCATGGCCTTTCTGCTCAGTCTCTGAGATACACCAGGCTCGAGATGCATTTTATACCTTAATTATGCCAGCCTGGGCAAAGCAGCCTTGGTACCTACAATTATTCCAAGAGAAATGTGTTCACATGCAACATTTGTGTGGGAAATCCCATCCTCTCCACTCACCACTTCAATGATGGAGAGCATTTATTTATCCCGTAAAGCCATGTAGGGTGGGGAGAGATTTGTGGCCCCGAGACAATATTGCAAATGGTGCACTGCTTTCTGAGTCCCCTTCAAAATGATTACTAGGGTGCTGGTGGAAGAGATTGGCCTTTGGGACAGTGAATTAAAGGGAGCATGCTATCGCCCGCCCGCCCAGCACCTCCTTTAGAAGAGCAGGAAGGGCTCAATCTCTGTTTGCTCCCAAGGCAAACTGAGGACGGATTTGGGGCTCTTTGTAAAAGGCCCAGTGGGCCTAATTGGGTTGGTTAAAACACAACTCAGCCAAGACAATTATACCTCCCCAGTCCCCTGCCATCCTTAGTTATGCATGTCCCCTGCCCTCTGCCAGGGAGATTCCATTAGGGGCACACACAGGGGAACAATTTACTGATAGAAGTGATTCCAAATTATTAAAAATGATAGGATGGTGCATCGTCTCTAATAAGTTATGCTGCCCACAGAAACCACAACTATTAAATTTTATAGTATACAGAAACCTTCTTCTTTATGGAGAGTGCCAAGACTTAGCAAAGCAGCTCTTTCTACAGTACCGAGGTACAGAAAGTGGTCAACAAGGAAACTGCATGAGCTCTTGTGTCAGCACCAAGAAGCAGCTTCATTGGGGAATATGGAAAACAAGTGGGTTTCACGCCATATTAACTGGGCTTGCTCTGTTTGACAAAGCCAGGACTGAGCAAGTCCTCAGCAAATGAGCATATAGGATTGACCACAGCCCAGGCTCTCTTTTTCTCCACTTGGTTTTGAAAGTTTCTACAAATATTTAATATTTTTAATGTAAAGGAACAATCTGCCAGCTGATTCTCTCATATGGTTTTGGCCTGGACAACGTAAGCTTTCTTAGAGCTCACTTTTCTAGCAGCAATAACTATTGGCAGAAGAGTGAGCTGGCAGCTCACTTTGTAAAGGGTTTTGTTTAGATTTTCATAAAGCTAAACCCACCCCCTTTGCTTAACTGTAACAGGAACTCTTACTGACAACGGGAGACACGGCCTGGAACAGCTGGTTCCCCAACTTGGTACTCTCCAGATGTTGTTGCTCTACAACTCCCTTCATCCTAGAGCTCTGGGCCTTGTTGGCTGAGGCTGATTGACATCCTAAACACCTGGAGGACTGCAGGTTGCTAAGGCAGGCCTAGAATACCTTGAGAGCACTGTGGCTGGTGAACGGGCTATTCTGAACAATCCCCTCAGTACTCAGAATAATGAAAACGAAGTGGTAGGAGCAGAAGTTTGCAGAGCAATGAATGACATGAAAATTGGCTGGTGTGTAGACATAGTGCTAATGAGCTCTTTCTATATTTTTTCCTTTTTTAGTAGGGTACTGATTTATACCCTTGCAAAAGAACATTCTGTTTTTCGGAAGAGTGCAACTTAGATCTGTGTTTAAGGCCTTAACCACCTATATATTGGAATAGTGCTAAACAATACACAAGCCCTTTAAGTTATCCATATACTGTATTGAGTTACACGTATCATCAAGTAATGAGCACAACTTCTATTGCAGAAATCTACGTTGAAGAAGATTATTTCCCTCCCCCGGTATTTTTGCTTCCTCATCAAAGCAAGACCTGGGGTTAAAATTGTGCGTTTGATTAAAATTTCTTAAAATCGCTGCTGAATTTCAACTTTTAACCTGGGCTCATCTGGTTCCACTGAATTGCTGAAAACTGGTAAGTGGTTGTTCAGCATTCCACTATTATTTTGACATATTAGTAGCTGTTTTGCTTCTGCAGAATAAAGAATGGGAGGTAGAACGGGGAGATCTAGTGCTAGAAAAAGCTAATAATTGAACTGAACACAAGAAGAAGAAAAATTAGAATGCCTATCCCCCCCCTGCCCCCACTTTTCTGAGAACCCAATGCCGAGTCTGTTCCCCAGCCTCGGTATATTTTTCACATTTCGTTAAATTTGGTTTTCTTCCTTTTTCATGAATATTTTAAAAAGGACCTTGCTTTCAAGTTGCCTTAGACAGGAAGTTGAAAAATACAGGCTCTAATGGAGGTCAATAGCAGCTCAGCATCTTAGCGCTGGGATTTGGGTGAAAAGCTGACAATGTTAATCCTCTTAGCCCACTTTGCTGGCAGGTGTCTTGAGCAGGGAAGGCTACTTGCTTCTCTCAGAGAAGAATTACACTCGGAAGACCCTGCCTCCCTCTCTGTGCCTAGATGACAAGCTCTGGTCCACACCAGTCATCATCAACAGTGGTATATATTGCCTGTCCGTAATTTCGAAGCTACTATCGCCTTCCTAATTCACAAACTCACGTACCTACACTTAATTATAACTGTCAGTGCCAATCAAAACGGCAACAACATGACAAGCTGTTGGGCTAGGGCAAGGGCTAGATGACTTCCATCAGGTTGAGGAGTAACCAGGAATAAGGTCCTGCTCTGTCAGACAACCAAAGGTAGACATCAGGACCTGGTCCTTCTACCTGGCCAACCGAGGAGGTCTCTGACTGACAGGAAATTGCAAGGGTTGATACTCTTCCCTGTTGTGTCTGGAGGGAGAGCTCCAAGTACACCAGAACCTGGCCTTCGATTCCAAGATTACTAGTCCCAACTGCGACGCAAAGGCTGCTGAAACATACAGGTGACAAGCCCAAAAGCAACATTTGACTGCAGCTGTGCCAAACACAGCTCCACTGTATCTCTTTCAACAGAGGGAGTGCGAAACATGCTCCAGGTGCCATTCGACTCCAGCTCCCATCAACCACAGCCGGCGTGGCCAACGTTCATGGATTATGGGAGCTGTAGTCCCCCGACACCTGGAGGTCCCGCAGGTTCACCACCTCTGCCTCCACATTTTCAATCTCCTTTGTTTCTTGCATCATTGTCTCTGAAGCTTTGTGGACTTTAGTACACATTGCCTCCCCGGATAGCCACTTAACTGTCCTTTACATTTTTTGCTGCAGGTGTAAAGCGGCTTTTATTTTTGTCTGTTGAGCTGCCTTGCACCACTGGTCCAGGATAGGGATAGAATCATAGAATCATAGAATTGGAAGGGGCCAAGAGTCAATTAGTCCAAGCCCTTGCAATCCAGGAACCTCAGCTAAAATCATCTGTTTTATTACGTAGATTGTACCAAATCAGATAATGGGAAGGACATCTGAAGAGAAAGAAGGGGGCAACTCCCACCCCTTTAATGATACTGGGCTTGGTGGAAGGCTTTTAAACCTCTTTGCCCAACCCAGAACCTTTGCTTGCTGCAAAGCCCAACAGCATCACCACTGCTAATGTGGCCATTGAGAAACCAGGTGGGCTTTCCCTGCCATCACTTCTAGATATTGCTAAAAGCAGAGGTGGTGTTTAAAATGCCCTCCTCCTCCTTTCAGGGAAGTGTCCCAAACAGTTCTAAAGCTGGGAAAACAGCTTACGAATTATTGGCACCGGCCTCAAATGTTTAGATGCCTCCCCAGTTTAGTGGGGTAAGGAAACATTTCAGTTGCCAAGCTAACAAGCCTGAGAAACAGATTCCAGGAAATACCCAGGCTGTTTAAATCCCATCATAAAACTCATATCCTAGCTAGCAATGTGTGCATTTCCTGGGGCGGGGTGGATAAGGGGAGGGAAATTGTTTGTTTGTTTTTTTACAGGACACAACATTGACAAGAAGAACCAAACTCACATACCTATGATCTTGATGATCAAAACTTAACACACGTTTTTCTTGATGTCCGCATGATTGATTTGCAGCCTGCACCTTAAAAGGCTGTTGGCGATTAAATGACATAATGTATTATAGCTCTCAGAGTCTGTTTCTCTCTCCCGCCCCCACCCCCCAATCCAACAGAAGCATCAGAAAGAAATCAACCCACTTACTAATCCATTAGCAGAAGAAAACCCTCCTCCTTGCTGTACCGGTGTTTAGGAAGCAGACCAACCAGCAGTCAGACGTATACCAAAATATCTGCATTCTAGGTGATAGAGAGCAATAGAGGGTTTTTTTATTCTGACACAGTGGGGCACTAAAGCAAAAGCCCATTAAGCCACATGGGTGGAGGCTGCCCAGGAAACAAGCAACATCTCAGTTAGACATCACAGAGGGCAGCAACAAGATAGCTCTCTCTGAACCCCAGTGCTGGCATGAATCAGCGAATGAATCAACGAAGAGTGGTACCTAACCAACCCTAATCAACTTATGCTGGAAATGGGGCCTGGGTCCTTTGGCCTCATCTTGTGTCTTCTCCACCGCCGTTACTGTATAATGTCAAAATAAGCCATCCATGCTTCAAGAGACCAGTCTTTCAGCCATTGGCTCTCCCATCCAGAAGAAACGCCACAATGAGGCAGTTGCGACTGTCGAAATGTGGCAACCACTGCAAGGCAAGTGTCAAAACATTTCTTCCCTCTTTCTTCTCGTCCCTGGGTTGTGTTTTCAACCTGCCATGTGGAGTTCCCCACTCCCTCAACCTCAGAGAGGGAAAAGCTTTGAGATATATATATATATAGGCAAAGGCTTTTCAAAGAAGACTCTGAAGAGCATTGCTTTTGTAACTGGGGGGGAAAACCTGGTTCATGCCCCTGCAAGAAAGAATGAGAATCTGTCCCAACTGCCTACCAAATAATTAAAATGTATTTATAAATGATCAGCTAAGGCTTCCAAACTCACAAAGAAATCTATACCTAGTGTGCATCTCAAAATTTCTGATATAGCCCTTTCGATGAGCAAGTCACAAATCCCCCCCAAAGGGGAACAACTTTATATTAAAGTGCATTTGCTATCATCCTAAACATCGCCTTGCCATAGGCTCCTACCTTTCTATACCTGTCCAAGCCTTCTGGGCTGGATGTCTTCCATTACCCAGAGAGCAAGCTATGAGTACCTTTCAAATTTCAGTGTTGTCTGCATCTATTTTCAGATTCTTGAAAAATAAAATAATAACAATAATAATAATAAATACGTTTTAAGCTCCCCCCCCCCCCAGCCCTTGTCTCTCTTCCAAGCTAAACTCTACACCCAGGATTCAAGCATCGTTTGAGCCGTCTGCCTTCTCTGTTGGATCTTGGAATCCTGCGCAACATGTGCTCATTTTAAAAAGAAATCAAATTTTTAAAAAGGAGCCATTGTGTGGAAGTGTATCCTGAAGACGCAGCCGGAACGAAGGAAACAGGGTTCTCACGTTGCTGGCCTCTCACAGCTCACCAGAAGGGAATATAAAAGACACCTGGGCTCAGTACTTGTTAATCCCAAAGATGCGTACGCCATGCAGTTGGGGTAGTTTGGGGATCAAGACACTCATCAAGGAGATGGTGTTGATGATGAAGTGTATCCGGTCGTATTTAGTGTAGAAGCTTGTAAGGAAATAACTGCGGAGGAAAGAAAAGGAGGAGAGAATTGAATCGCGTATGCCCCAGTTCCCTCAACTAGCCCACGCTGAGAGTTGAAACATGGAATGCCCTCCCTAGGGAGGCTTGCTGGATGCCCGTATCATGCATACACACACACAACATTTTTATATCATGCATATAATCTCTCTCTCTATGGATATATAATTTTTATTAAATTTCTGTTTTACCTTTTAGAATATTCACTTAAACAACCTTAAAATATCAATGACTTCCCTTCCTCTCTTTCCATGGTTCATTTTGAACAGCATAAACACCTGCACATTTTATATACTGTAAATTTCGCTCTATAACACGCAGATTTTTTCTCCTAAAAAGTATGGGGAAATGTCTGTGCGTGTTATTGAGCGAATGTGTGGCCCCTGGAGCTGACTCGCCGGGGCAAAAATAGGCAAAAATCAGGCAAAAATAAGATCGGGCGGGCGGAGGGAAGGCGGAAGCTGCTGCTTTCCTGCATTCTGCCTCAGGGTCTTATTGCCCACCCGCTTCTGTTGCTGCGTTTGCTCAAACTCAACAAAGAGCAGGGAATCCCCTGCCCTCCTGGCAAGCAGAGGGTTAAGGAAAGGATCGAGTCCTTCCTTCTAATTCTTTCCTAGTCACACTGCGTGCAGGCTCCAGCCCACCACCTCCTCCTCTCCATGCTCTAGGGACTCGCAGGCAGCCGAAAAACATGCAGGTGGGAGAGAGAGAGAGAGAGGGCTGGCTTGGGGGGGGGGAACTTTTGCCTTCCTTTCCTCCCCCCCACCCCGTTAAACTCCTCCCCTGCATTCTTAGCCAGCTGCTTCTCCGCACACCCCTCTTGTGCTTTTTGTCCCTTCTGTGTTTTTCCTTCCCTCCCCATTTAAAACGTGGTGACAAAGCACGGATCCACAAGGATCCTCAGGATTTTTGCATTGGGTCACCCCAAATTCACCATCAGATCACATTACATGTCCATGGCTACAGTCTGTACCAAAAAAATCACGCACCCACTGTTGCCTGGGGCTGCAATGGTGCAAAAACGTGGTTACAAAGCATGGATCCACAGGATCTTTGCACTGGGTCACCCCAAATTCACCATCAGATCACATAGCATGTCCATGGCTACATCTTGCACCAAAAAAATCACGCACCCACTGTTGCCTAGGGTCACAGTGGTGCAAAAACGTGGTTACAAAGCATGGATCCACATGGATCCTCAGGATTTTTGCATTGGGTCACCCCAAATTCACCATCAGATCACATAGCATGTCCATGGCTACATCTTGCACCAAAAAAATCACGCACCCACTGTTGCCTAGGGTCACAGTGGTGCAAAAACGTGGTTACAAAGCATGGATCCACATGGATCCTCAGGATTTTTGCATTGGGCTACTCCAAACTCACTGTCAGATCCCATGTCTGTGGCCACAGCATGAACTACAAAAATCATACATCCACTGTTTCATTTAGAATATTTTTTTTCTTGTTTTCCTCCTCTAAAAACTACGTGCGTGTTATGGTCTGGTGCGTGTTATAGAGCGAAAAATACGGTAAACTAAACCATTCTATATTCCATTATTACATCCATCAAAACTTATTTGCACTGTTGAATTTATCTTAATTATGCTGCCCACGTTTTCATATGTACACAATTCCCCCCCCATATATTCAATAAACATTCTCCAGTCTTCTTTAAACGTTATGTTCTTCTTGTTCTGTTATTCTATACGTTAGGTCTGCAAGCTGTGCGTATTCCATCAGTTTAAGTTGCCAGTCGGGACTTCGCTCGTTTTCCATTTTTGGGCTAACGAAACACGAGCCACAGTAGTGACATACATAAATAACCTTTTCCAACACCTAGGAATTTTTGTCTGAGTTATCCCCAACAAAAAGGACTCTGTTGTTGTTTTTTTGGAAAAGTACTTTTAAACATTTTTTTCAGTTCATTATGAATTATTTCCCAATACCCTTTTACAGGTCCAGCATATATGATAGAAAGTACCCTCAGTCTCATTACATCTCCAACACTTACCTGATTCAGTCTTATACATCTTATATACCGTATTTTTTGCTCTATAAGACTCACTTTTTCCCTCCTAAAAAGTAAGTGGAAATGTGTGTGCGTCTTATGGAGCGAATGCAGGCTGCGCAGCTATCCCAGAAGCCAGAACAGCAAGAGGGATTGCTGCTTTCACTGCGCAGTGATCCCTCTTGCTGTTCTGGCTTCTGAGATTCAGAATATTTTTTTTCTTGTTTACCTCCTCCAAAAACTAGGTGCGTCTTGTGGTCTGGTGCGTCTTATAGAGCGAAAAATACGGTATATTCTTTGGGTGCCAGGTGAAAAGCTTTTCATTTTTCCAGGGATTTTTCTTTAACGTTGCAAATCGTATTGCTCACTACCCAGAGAATGTTAAGGTACTGTTGTTTTTGGACTACAACTCCCATCATCCCTAAGCTAGCAAGACCAGCGGGGTCAAGGATGATGGGAATTGTAGTTGGGGAAAACCAGCCGGAGACCCAAATTTGGGAAACACGGCTCTAAGGGCACAAGGGTAGGAAGGGGTGCTGTGGGTCTGAAAAGCATTTCTTCGCACAGTGTGGAGTTAATTTATGGAACTGGCCTGCTATGAGTTGTGGGGGTGGCCATTAGGGCTTGTTGTTGTTTAGTCATTTAGTCGTGTCCGACTCTTCGTGACCCCATGGACCAGAGCACGCCAGGCACTCCTGTCTTCCACTGCCTCCCGCAGTTTGGTCAGACTCATGTTTGTAGCTTTGAAGACACTATCTAACCATCTCGTCCTCTGCCGTCCCCTTCTCCTTGTGCCCTCCATCTTTCCCAACATCAGGGTCTTTTCCAGGGCTTAGGGCTTAGACAGCCTTAAAAAGAGGGTGAGGCAAGTACATAGAGGATAAGTTTACCTTATGGCTACTAGTCAATGTGGTTTCATGCCAACCTCAGGCATCATGACTCCAAATACTCATTGATGGAGAACAGCAACATTTCTTGTTTGCGGGCTTCCCGCAGGCATCAGACTAGCCGTTGTGGGAATGGGATGATGGGCTTGGCAGGCTTCTGGCCTGATCCAGAAGCGATTTGCACCTAGCCTTATAAGTACAGTCCCAAGCCCTCTTTTACACTCACAGTATAATTGGTGTGATGGTCAGGAACTTGCGGGACGCGGTGAACTGCACCCCGTAATCCATCTGCTCCCAGTGAGTCAGCAGCCGGGCTTTGCCCTGGTCAGGCGTCTCAAAAGGCGTTCCTTTCACAGTGTGTAAGAAAATGTACATGCTCTGTAAGAAAACACAAACACACACGTGTGTTTTTAAGGGCTACATGGCGGTGGGGAATAATATTCCGTCCCTATTCTGAGCTACTTCGCTCATCTCTTCCTCTCTCTTCTTTCGGGTCCCGATTTAACCGGTTGAAAAGGCAGCAACGTCCTTGCGAAAGATGTGCTGTGTTGAAGGAAAGGTTCCTGCACAGCCAATGAATAACCACTTTTCAATGAGAAGCAAGGGTAGCCTAGCAGGAAAGAGGGCAAACGTGCAGATACAGTGCTAATTTAGGATAATTATTATTCTACTACAAACCCTCGATCTAAGGTGCTTGGCTGAAGTCCACTAGAAGCAGTGCTGCAAAGAGGACTATTGACCGACCTTTAAAAACGTGGCAGAGGAAAGAAGCTGCAGTATTTGGAGCCTTAAAATGCTTCAGCTAACCTGATCCAAGGAAGAAAGGAGAAAAAAGCAAGAGGAAGCATTGAGCAGTGAACTAGCATGGAACACGTCATTTATACATTTGTGCTGGCAGGGGGAGCTGTTGCCACTACTGCTGCCTACAAAGCAGTGCTAAAAAAATCAGATGCTGTAATGCACATAAAAATATAACTGGGGCCTCAAGAGGCAGCCCCCTCCCTGCTCTTTTTTGGAGGCAAAGTGTCACATACATAATTTTTCAAAGGGCCGGCGCTCTACGCAAGACAGATTTCCTACACAGATCTACTTCTAGGTCACGAATTGTGCCACACCGGTTATTGGCGTCTGCGTGGCCAATGGTACCCAGGGCAGAGAGAGGGTGCCAATTCAGATTTCACACCGCACCCACAAAATGCCTTGAGCCAGCCCTGTGTGCAAATTCCTAATCTGCCCTAGGTTATTGCAGCGGGCAGCGGCAACTGAGACGCACATGTGCTTGTCACAGGTGTGTAGGAGGTAGCTTGCCATTTGTAATACACAAAGGGGGGGCTGCTCCTGGACCGGGAGAGCCTGGCCACAGTAGTTCATGCACTGGTTGCTTCAAGGTTAGATTACTGCAATGCGCTGTGTGTGGGGCTTCCTTTGCCCTTGACCCTGAAGCTACAGTTAGTGCAGAATGCCTTTTCAGCACGTAACACCTGTGCTCAGGGCTCTGCCCTGGTTGTCGATCCGCCACTGGGCAGGGTTCAAGGTGTTACTATTAGTATATAAAGCTCTTAACACCTTGGGACCTGTTTACCTATGACGTCATCTTACCCAAATGTTGGGGTTGCCATATTTCAAAAAGTGAAAGTCCGGACATAAAAGCTGTTGAGCTTTTTTGTGGGCAAAGTTGTTGAGCTCTGAAGTTTGGGGGCTTTTTTTTTTTTTTAAGGAAATTTGCCAACAAATTACCACCACTGACTCTGGTTGCCATTTTTACCAATTTTCGGAAATTCCGTATGTAAGCTATTTCCGATGGACGAATCCCGGATATGTCTGGGGAATTCTGGACATATAGCAGCTAGGCTACCATATGTGCCCACTTGACCACTTCAATCAACAGAATTGGCACTTCTATAAAGTGCCACATAATACCCGACACCGCATCTGTAAGAACTCGTTTAGTTTGGCACTCCCTGCCTATTGATACCAAGGCTGGCGCTTTCATTGTATTCCTTTCAGCACCTGCCAAAGACATTCTTGTTTAGTTTAGAAATGCAGAAATGCCTACCCAAATGTTTAGAAAGTTTGTATGAGTTTTGACTTATTTCAGTCTATTTCTGTTGTGGTTTTGACCTTCTGTATATTTCCCAAACTTGGGTCTCCAGCTGTTTTGGGATTACCAATTCCCATCACCCCTGGCTAGCAGGACCAGTGGTTGGGGATGATGGGAAATTGTAGTCCAAAAACAGCTGGAGACCCAAGTTTGGGAAATGCTGTTTTAAATTATGGTTGTAAATTTTTAAGTGATGATTTTATTGGTTTACCTGCTTTGTAGACCGCTTTGAGTTCTCCCCCCTCCCCCACAATCAAGCGATATAGAGTGGTACCTCAGGTTAATTCATTCCAGAGGTCCGTACTTAACCTGAAACTGTTCTTAACCTGAAGCACCACTTTAGCTAATGGGGCCTCCTGCTGCTGCCACGCCGCTGGAGCACGTTTTCTGTTCTCATCCTGAAGCAAAGTTCTTAACCCGAGGTAATATTTATGGGTTAGCGAAGTCTGTAACCTGAAGCATATGTAACCTGAAGCGTATGTAACCCGAGGTACCACTGTACAAAATTTTATGAATGAATAAATGTGTGGTGTGGGAAATTTAATACAGCTGTATGTCAGGGCTCCACGCTTCGACTCGACCAATCGAAATGCAGCCCACCAGTCATGGATCGTGGCCTGCCAGGGGTTTGGCAACTCCACCCCACTTGCGCCAGATGTGGTTGCGCCACCAACAAAAGAATGCCATTTCTTTAGACCAGTGTTTCCCAAACGTTTTTGGGCAACGGCACACCTGTTTACTGAAAAAAAATCTTGCGGCACACCACCATTAAAGCCCCGCCCCGTGACGTCAGCGCGCAGCGTCACGCCGGGAGGGACGCACAAAAGTGAAAGTTTTTTCCCTCCCCCTTGCTGGGGAACCTCCAAGCTTTGGGGTGGGAGGAGGCAGCAGAGCGAGGGACTGAGGGACGGCGGCAACTGAGGCGGCGGCGGCTGAGGCAGAGCTGGGAAGGGGGTTTCCAGGGGACACGGCAGCTCCTCGAAAGGCTTCTCTCAGCTGCGCTCAATCCGCCTCGGAGAGGATTTCCCCTCCGGTCCCATGCGTTCGTTTGGGGCATCGCTCCGGCTGCTCCCTCTCCCGCCGCGCAGGAGCGATGCCTCTCTCTGGCTCTCCCTCCGCACAGGCTGAGGGAGGGAGGGAGGGGCGCGTGTGACCCGTCTCTGCTGGGAGACCAAACCCAGCGAGGCAGAGTCGCGCGGAGGCGCCCAGGCAGCGCTGCCGGCTGCGAGGAGGAGCGCCAGGCAGCAGCAGGAGGCGCGGCCTCTCCTCGCCGCCGCTGCCCCGCCTCTCGCCGCCCGACTCGCCCGCCTCCCTCCAGGCATCTCGCGGCACACGAGGCAACGTCTCACGGCACACTCGTGTGCCGCGGAACACCGGTTGGGAAACACTGCTTTAGACGGAGCATAGGTGGACTACAGAACTCACTCCCACATATTGTAGTGATGAACACCAACTCGGCTGGGTTTAAAAGAGGATTACACAAAGGCCATCAACAGCTACTACGTTCTACCGCCAATGTCAGAAGTGGCCTGCCTCTGCATACCACCCGCGGGGGGACTCACAAATGGGCAGAGGGCTCATGCCTTGCTTGTGGGCTTCCCATAGACATCTGGTTGGCCACCATGAGAACAGGATGGTGGACTAGGTGGGCCTTTGGCCTGACCCAGCGGGGCTCTTGTGCTTGTAAGCTAGACAACCCTGCCTTCATTGTAACCTGGCAGGGGTTGCATGCTATGAAAAAATGCACAAGGGTGCATCGTTATTCAGTGTGCCTCCATTACCCTGAACACCTTTGCAAACGTTTCCAAGCACAATTCAAAGTGTTGGCACTGACCTTTAAAGCCCTAAACGGCCTCGGTCCAGTATACCTGAAGGAGCGTCTCCACCCCCATCGTTCTACCCAAACACTGAGGTCCAGCGCCGAAGGCCTTCTGGCGGTTCCCTCACTGCAAGAAGCAAAGTTACAGGGAACCAGGTAGATGGCCTTCTCGGAAGTGGCGCCCGCCCTGTGGAACGCCCTCCCATCAGACGTCGAGGAAATAAACAACTATCTGATGTTTAGAAGACATCTGAAGGCGGCCCTGTTCAGGGAAGTTTTTAATGACTGAGGTTTTAATGTATTTTTAAATGGGTGGGGTATAAATAATAAATTATTATTATAATTATCCGCCCTGCACAAGAAGTGTGGCTCGCCCCACATTTCCAATTAATGCAGTAGGTGCTGGGAAGCTTTTGCTAAAGTGGTATTAAGCAAATTAGGGGTGGCTGTAGCTTTTTGCAATTAAGTTGGATGGAGTAAATGGGTGTGATAATAAGCACTGGGCGTGAGAAATCCATATGTCCGTATTAAACAGGAGGAGGATGAACTGCCCAAATAACAATCCTTTAGCGGCAGACGCCCCAATTTCACCAAGCTTCGAGTTTCACGGAACAGGATACAGAAGCACTCTAGAAACCCTTGCACTTTGGAATTTTAATCTGGCGGCCGCCCAGTGTTCGCTTCCTACATAGCGGGGGTGGGGAAGCCTTGAAAGAGAACAAAAGCACCAGATAAAATCTGTGAGCGGGCGACTCCCAGTTGCAAATCATCTTAAGCTCATCCTATCATGAAGCAATGATAACAAAGCACGGCGATAACCGGTGCCAAGGTGCCCGGACTCCTTTGTGTTAATTCTTTCCAGCTCTTATCCTCTTTGATTTCAGTTCTTCCCACGCGAAATCATTGGGTGGATCCAAATTATAAGGTGGTGGCACTTAAGTCCCATTGAAACCAATGGGTGACTTGAGTCACAACGAAGTTGCTCAATTGATGTCAGTGGGTGCTGAGGTCAATTCACTCATTCTGGGGTCCGGCTGAATGTCAGCTAGGGTGTCTCTCGCTGTTCCACAGTAGGTGGCCAGGAGAGAGAGAGAAAGAAAGACGCCGTGTGTGCGCATCAGCCTACAAATCCAGTCAAGATTATCCCGTCTTGTTGCCTCCTCCAACACTATCGCATCTTTCTCTCTCTTTTTGCCACATTTTTTCTTAGATGCACCTTACATCAGGGGCAATGAAGGGACGCATTCTGTCATGGGGGGGGGGTCTTCCAAGGGCCACATACCAGTGGTGGATGAGGCCAAACTCTTGCCTACATCCAGGCATGCAAGCAGACACATTTCGGTCCAGTAAAAATCATGAGACAAGGGCGCAGAGTCAGCTGAGTGAGGGTGTGTGGCCTGGGAAGGGTGTGTGGCCTGGGAAGGGACGTTAGGGCCAGGCAGAGATGTCTTGAGGGCCAAATCCAGCCCCCCAGGCCTGAGTTTCCTCACTCCCTGGATTTAGATGAATGCATATGCTTTGGAATACAACCACTGTGTGGAAACAAAAAACAGCAAGTGCATCTCTCTACGCTGACGCCGTTATAAAAAACCCTCCTAACAATCCTGATCTAGACACCCTACAGGGCCAGCGACACGTTAAATATATCAGAGGGGAAGGAAGCCAAACAGCACATAGCTGTCACTCTCAGTTGTTTTTACTGCTAAAGTGAAGAAATAATTGCATGCGGAGCAGATGGGGCGACCCGCCGGGAGAGCTGCTCCCCACCCCCACCGCCCCTGGCTAGATGCAAAATGATGCACCACTCTGAGCACAGGGCATAAGCCAGCAGGCTGCCATGTCTGCGCTGAGATAGCGTCTGGATATTAGGCTAAGCAGATTAAGGTTAACTGAGGGTTTGGGGTGGGGGAGGAGATGCCCAGAAATATGGACCAATGTTAAGGACGAGGGAGAATGAGTCCCTGCTAAGGCACACCACAGTCATCATCCTTAACATTATATTATGATTATTTCAAATTGTAGTTTCACACCTGCTCCTTGTGCAGCCTGTTTTGTGAGCTTTAGTTCCCCATCTGCAGTATACAGTGGTACCTCGGGTTAAGAGCTTAATTCGTTCTGGAGGTCCATTCTTAACCTGAAACTGTTCTTAACCGGAGGTACCACTTTAGCTAATGGAGCCTCCCGCTGCTGTTGCGCTGCCGCCATGCGTTTTCTGTTCTCATCCTGAAGCAAAGTTCTTAACCCGAGGTACTATTCCTGGGTTAGCGGAGTCTGTAACCTGAAGTGTCTGTAACCCAAGTTACCACTGTACCTTTAAAACTGTACTATAGCACTGTGAACTGTCACAGAATGCTGGGAACTGCAGTTTGTTTTCAGGCTGCTGAAACCCCCTATGATCAATCCCTCTTTCCCAGGGAACTCTGGAAAGCCTAGCTCTGTTGAGGGTCTCCTGTTAACTATCAGCATCCTTAACAAACTACACTTCCCAGAATTCCTTAGGGGGAAGCCATGACCTTTCAAACTGGTGTAATATTCAAACTGGGATGTTCTTTTTGTTTTCTGAATGGGTTTAGGGAGGATTTTCTCCCCTTAACAGTCTCAGGTTTGCACAAAACAAAAGCAGGAGGTGGGGTAGAAGCATGTATCAGGTTTCTTAGACGGCTTACTAATCCTTAATAAACCCTGTGCTCCACCCCCCACTCCCTTCCTGCAGCAAGCTTTAGTGGTCCAGAGTTAATTTAAACCATAGTTTCCCATTACACCTGAACTGGGAAACTGTGGTATAACCACACTCAGTGCGTGAACCAAGATTACCGTATTTTTCGCACCATAGGACGCACTTTTCCCCCTCCAAAAATGAAGGGGAAATGTGTGTGCATCCTATGGTGCGAATGCAGGCTTTCGCTGAAGCCTGGAGAGTGAGAGGGGTCGGTGCGCACCAACCCCTCACGCTCTCCAGGCTTCGCACACCTCTCCCCAAGCAGCGGGAGCCCAGCGCTGGGCTCCCGCTGCTTGCGGAGAGTTGCCGGCATGCCGAAGCCTGCGCACGCTGAGATCAGCGCGTCCAGGCTTCGCGGACCTCTCCCCAAGCAGCGGGAGCCAGCGCTGGGCTCCCACAGCTTGCAGAGAGCTGCCTGTTTGGGGGCTGGGGTCGGGGGAAGCTCGAGCTTCCCCCGCCCCAGCCCCGCGCCTGGGGGGAAAATATTTTTTCCCCTTTATTTCCCCCCCAAAAAACTGGGTGCGCCTATGGTCCGGTGCGCCCTATGGTGCGAAAAATACGGTAATCCATGGTTTTCCAGATCAGGCATTGAAGTGGTTTAAAGCAGTGTTTCCCAACCTTTTTTGGGCAACGGCACACCTGTTTACTGAAAAAAAAATCTCGCGGCACACCACCATTAAAGCCCCGCCCCGTGACGTCAGCGCGCAGCGTCACGCCGGGAGGGACGCACGAAAGTGAAAGTTTTCAATTTTTTTCCCTCCCCCTTGCCGGGGAACCTCCAAGCTTTGGGGGTGGGGGGGGGGAGGAGGCAGCAAAGCGAGGCAGGAAGGAGAGCACGGCTTGGCTGAGTGAGCTTTGGCAGGGGCAGGGAATGAGAGCCGCGAGGCGGGCGCTGCGGACGGAGGCGCTGCCCGCCGAGCTCGCAGCTCGCCCGTCGAAGCCTGCACGATCAATCGCCGCGGGGAGCCGGGGGCGGCGGCGCGGTTGCCGGGCAGCGGCGGGGGTGGTGGTGGCGGTGGCTGCTTGCCGCCCTCCTGGGCGGAGGCGGGCACGGTGGGCACCGGCACGGCCAAGGGCCCCTGCTTGGTGCCGTCGGATGTGGGAGCTCGCTCGCTCGCCGCCCCGCGTGTGCTCGCCGAGCATGCGCAGGCCCAGTAGCGAGCGGCGATAGGATGTAGCGAGCGGCGATGGGGCTAGCCGGAGAGGGCGAGCCCCCTCCGCTCCGGCCCTAAAAAGGGCAAGCCACGCCCCCTCCAGCCAGCCGATTGGCTGGCCAGGAGGCGTGGCCGGATGGGATTCCCCTGCTCTCGCGGGGGCTGAGATGGGATTCCCCGCTCACGTGGGGAAGGGCGTGAGGCCCAGTAGCGAGCGGATGCGCAGGCCCAGTAGCGAGCGGCGATGGGATGTGGGAGCTCGCTCGCTCGCCGCCCCGCGTGTGCTCGCCGCCGCCCCGCCTCTCACCGCCCGACTCGCCCGCCTCCACGGAACACAAGGCAAAGTTCCACGGCACACTAGTGTGCCGCGGAACACCGGTTGGGAAACACTGGTTTAAAGTAATTGTGATAGAAATGCTAAAAGCCGGTGCAAGGGGTGGCGCAGGGAGCATGCAAGCGCCACACTGGTTCTTGGCATAATACATCACATAGTTTCCTATGCTGAGGTTGTCAAATCTGAGCCAGCTGTGTGCCTGTATATGTGTGTGGGGGGGCACATTTGCAATACTGTATCTTTAAGATATTGTAAAATGGACACTGACTGCAAGAACAAGATAAATGAAGTCGGAAAAGAGGTCTCCATTAGAAGCATTTCACAACTAAAAGTGGATTGGTTTGCAGATTTAAAAACTACCACCACCAAGACCCTAATAAAAAATAAATGTCTGTTATACCTGGCAGGTAGGCACAACAATGCTTAGGATGAATCCACAAACACTTTTTTAAAATAGTGACTCTCTGCTCAGCTTGCATGCTCACAGCAACAATCCCATCCTTGGCACTGACAATTTGATGGATCTCTCTGGACAATCCAGCTGATAGCGTCAGACTTGCATCTAGATGGATACTTGCCGGCTGCCTGGTCTAGACACCAGACATTCATATAGCCTAGGTGGCCATTTCTTGGAGGGCTGAAGAAAAGGGCCAGTTAGGGAGCTCTGGAGGGCTGTACTTGGCCCTGGGCCTAAGATTCCCCACCCCTGTGTTATAGGGAGTACAGGGGGTGGGAATTGTGTTGGCTTCCCCCTCCCTGCGCTGCCTGCAGAAGCACCCTCTGCCTACAATGCCCAATGCTGGAACTCAAAGCTGCTCCCAAAGGGGCTCCCCGTACCATGTTGTGGATGATGTTGGTCAGAGTCCAAACCACAGAGACGCTGAAGAAGGGGATGCTGAGGAGGATCACGTGCAGAAGGCCGATGCCCAAGACATACGAGAGCCAGATGCCCCGGCTGTTCATGACCCGGGTGTTCGGGTTCACTTCGCTGTGAGCTGTGCCCACGTTCATCTCTCCAGCTCGGCGGCCCTGCAAGAGAACACAGAGGGACACAGATGGGTTAGCAGGATGAGGGAAAGCTCCCAAATAGGGGGGGGGAGACCAGGGCTGGGGGAATCTGCGGCCGTTTGGAACGTTGCTGGACTACAGCTCCCATCATCCATGCCACAGCTAGGGCAGATGGGGGCTGTAGTCCAACAAGGTCCGGAGAGTTGTGGGTTCTCCAACCCTGGAACAGGTGGCTCCATCTGTTTTTGGCCTGGGTCAGTTTTGTATTTTCCCATAAACCAACCCTGATATCGTTAAGCCTAATTATCCCACCAAGGGGCAAGGCTGATTCAGAATGCGGCTAGGTGACGGCCCTTATAGATGCTCAGCAGCAGATGTGCCAGATGTTGCTGGACTTCAGCCACCCAAGAAGCCCAGCCAGCAGGGTGAATGATCAGGGGAGACGGGAGTTGCAGACCAAGATCATTTGGGCAGCCACATCCCTGCTCAATTGGCTTCCTGTAGACCTGGGAGGCCATCTTGTAATTCCCTTCCTATGGATACTATTGAGTTGTGACTTTAAACAATAACAGATACCACCGCAGGGACGGTGCATAGGGTCCTATCATTAACAGAGCTCGGATTAGAACTCTCCAGCCGATCAAAAACACATTGAGGCATCCTTAAATACACGCAACACCCACAACCCTCACACCGACGGTCACCACAATCACATAAGCACACTGCCATTACGTATTGATTTTATCTGCGGCACACGGCGTGTCTTTACCTTGGAACAGCATGCCGTGCCGTGCTCTGGCTTACGAAGGTGTGCCGGGGCCAAGCGGGGCATGAAGTCATTCACATCTTTAACCCTTGCGTGGCCGATTCCCTCTCCCACAACAAATAGCCAAGTGGGGGGGGCGGGGAGCTGGAGCAATACCTTGGCATGGGGAAGATCATCTCCAACCCTGTGTGCACCCCACTGTGGTTATGCTCCAAATCAAGAGGGGGGCCCATCCCTGTTGCTTGCACCACGTGAAACCTCCCTCCTGCTGCAAAGAGAAGGAACGAGTGCATGCACACACCCAGCCCAATTCAAATTTTGACTGTAGCAAAGTGCAAAGGGTTTAAAGCACCACAGCTGCAATCTGGTTCAACCCCTGCAGGAGCTGCTTATTTTTAGGTGGGATGGGGTGAAGAATCAGCCGCACAAGGGCTGGATAGCCCCATCTAGTTTGGGCCCTAGCCACAACTTGCCAGCGCAAGGCAGAGCCTCCGATTGCAGAGTAAATGAATACATGCATATAGCAGATGGAGCAATGTTTGCTCTCACGGTGAATCCACTTGTCCTGACGACAGAACAGCTGCAACTCAAAGGCAGAACAACACACACATTAGGCAACGTTTCCTATTTAGCTAAGAGGGCTGGCGAAAGGGATGGCAAGGAAGGGATGGCGCTCTGGCAACCGGCACTTTCATGTTCTATGCGCTAAGATCAAGGCACATCCATCTCCCGCTCAGTATTTAACTTTGGGGGGTGGGTGGGTGAGGACCAGCGCACAGACTCCGCTGCCACACACACACACAGCATAGTAATATTTTTAAAAAGACATCTCCACCGCCTCTCCAATGAGCATGACTAGGGGCACAGTTATACAGGAAATAGGGACCAGCCACAGGTTTCAGAAGGTGTAAGAAGTGCATACTACACCAATACTACATGGGACTGGCAGAAATGACCGGCAGAATCCGAGACCAGGGAAAAGAGACAGCGGAAGAAGATTGGAAGAAATTCAAAGACTATCTTAAGAAATATTGTAAAATTGTGGAATGTTAGGACGATGTTGATTCTGAAAATAAGTGGTTGTTTGCTGTAATGATTATGAAAATATGAAACGAAAGGTTAAAGATTTTAATAGAAACCAGGGGAAGGATTTGAAGAGAATTGCTCAGGGAATAGAATGCAGTAAGGGGAGGTATGAGGAGGTCGGGAAAATAAGTTTTATGAACATAAGGGAAGGAAATTATACATGTGGTTTTGTGTTTTTTTTCCTTTTTCTGTATGCATTTTTGTTTATTCTTTTTCTTTTGTGTACTTTTCTATGATTTTTTGTAATTTTGTGATTTTTCTGTTATATTAATTTTTGAAAAAACCAATAAATATCTTATAAAAAAAAACAACAGAAGGTGTAAGAAGTTTGAAAACTGCCTTGGTTTCGGCCTCTTCTTTAGTAATGCCATTCAGCATCCATGCAACACTTTTGAATGGGCATGGGATGCTGGCTTACTCCAGAGTCACACCACTGCCCCACCTAGCTCAGTAGAGTCTACATTAGCCCTCACAAACCTGGCAACCTCCAGATGTGCTGCCTGGGGCCAAAGAGTTATAGTCTCAAACACTCGGGAGACACCAGGTTAGCAAAGGCTAGCAATGGCTCTCCTGGATTTCATACAGAGGTCTTTCCCCATCCCTACCTGGAAATGCTGAGGATTAAATCTGGGACCTTCTGTTTGCAAAGCAGGTATTCCTACAATGAGCTACATACAGCCACTCTCCACTTTGCTTAAATTCTTCTCAGCAATCCTTACAAAGCAGTCCCATAAAGGAGCATCCAATTTGCATGCAATGCAATCGCAGCTGTCAGAATATGCACATTGCACTTAACTTCCTCCTACTCTATCCTAGGAGTTTCCCATGGCACCCATTTCCAAAATGTCTCAATTATCTGTTCTCTACAGCGAATGTGCCCTAATTATCAAGGCAGCTGCAGTCCGGCCTCTTGCATCATTAGGCAGCGTGGACACCAGATGTTCACAAATGCATCTAGACTTGGGCCTGAGCTGTTTTAGAGTCTGTAGTTCTGCCTTCTGCATTGTCCTGGCCACTTTAATTTTTTTTTGGGGGGGGGAGGGAGAGGGAGAGAGAGAGAGAGCACTTGCTTCTGTAGCTGTTCTGTCCTTCAAGCTTCATGTAATCTCAGTCAGATCCCCAAACATCTGGCCTGTCTGTGGGCTGCTATCTACGCAGCTGGGATGCAAAGTCAGACACATTTTCTGTAGCTATTTATAGAACCTCCCATTCTAGGCTGAATTTACCCAACAAGGTCCTTCACCTGCACATCAGCCTGCTTGACAGTAGGACACAACCCACTCACCCATTTTTAAGCACAGAGCATTTTTTCTAGTGGTGTTATCCAGACACCAATATTGTTTTTAAAAAAGAATAATCTTGGACTGACACGGTTCTCTGCTTCTAACATACATATTCATACGTTCCACTTTTCTGGCTGGCGTCTTGGGTTTCCCCCATTCTTATACAGTGGTACCTCGGGTTCAGTACTTAATTCGTTCCGGAGGTCCGTTCTTAACCTGAAACTGTTCTTAACCTGAAGCACCACTTTAGCTAATGGGGCCTCCTGCTGCTGCCGGAGCACGATTTCTGTTCTCATCCTGAAGCAAAGTTCTTAACCTGAGGTAATATTTCTGGGTTAGCGGAGTCTGTAACCTGAAGCGTATGTAACCTGAAGGGTATGTAACCCGAGGTGCCACTGTACACCTGAAAAATCAATAGCTGGACAGCATTTCCATGGATTTTGTTCACTGCAGTGTGGATTCCCCATTGATCTAGTAATTTGTACACGGAGGGAGGACCACAGCTCAGTGGAAGAGCATCTGCTTTGTGTATGAAATGTCGTGTCTTCAATTCCCGGCATTTCCAGGTAGGACTGGGAATTTCCCTGTCCGAAACCTTGGAGGAGCGGCTAGCGGTCAGTGCAGACAATACTGAGATAGTTGGACCAATTGCCTGACTCAGTCTGCTTCCTGTATTACTTGCTGTTCACATTCTTGTACAAGTAAGAACATGATACCTGGTGCATAAGTTTTCGTTCCCAAAGGGAGTTCTACAGGTAATGTGACCAGCAACAACATTTCTTTATGCACCTTTCTGATCCGAGTTCGGCACATGAAGCAGGCCAATAAAAGGCATTATCAGACACTACTTCTATCCAAGAGCTTCTCTCTTTCTACACACACACACACACACACACACACACACTACCATCGCCCCTTTCTATTCATGAACATTTGCCTTGCAGAGGCTCCAGCTATTATCCCGGAACTCTGGCAGCAATTGGGCGTTAGTTTAAAAGACCAATTAAAAAAGAGAGAAAAAATACCGAGCTATAAAAATTAACAACCTATTTCGGCAAAGCATTTTATGAGGCTTTTTAAAAATTTGCAAGTGGAGTTTTGTTTTACTGATGACTACAGCACGGCGCAAAGTCGTGTCCCCGAGCAGGCAAATGTGTGTTAGGAGAGGTAAGGGCCTGACAGCCCTGAAGCCTAGCCTTTATTGGCTCTGTGGTTATGGTTAGGTGGGGAGGGGACTTCAATCGTCCCCCGAGGCTTCAAAACTGGGATTGCACAGGAAAACATCTCCTTGCATTGGAGAGCAAAGTTCAGATTGCTGAAGCAATTTTTCTTTTTCTTTTTTCTGCTCGCAAAAGACAGACACAACGGAGCGGTTTCCTGACCGAGGTTTCATACCACCGCAGCCAACCAAGGACTTGCGCAAATATGGGAGAGCGTTTGATAAGCTGTCAAACTTTAATCCTTGCTTACCTCTCCAGCAGGGCAGAATTGACGTACCAGTGTGGAACTAGAGACAGCTCCCGTTCTGCTTAAATAGAAAGGGGGGTGAGGGTGGTAGAGGAGAGAGAAAGGAAAATACATTGTTAGAAGCAAAACAAAACAAAAAAAGGAAAAATGGTGTGCAGCACACAGAACCCCATTCCCCACTCCCAAATCTCTGTCTGGGCTCAGCCATTAGCGATGGACTGATTGACAAATGGTGCTTGGGAAGAGGTGCTGCAGGGTGGTAAATTGTAGGTGGGTGGGATTTAGCACCCCTTACCCACGCACCCGTATTGCTGTTAAAATGAGAAGGTCCTCCCCTTTTGCTGTGTTTATTGAACAACTCGTTTCGTTTCTTACATTTCTATTCCGCCTTTCTCTCACGTGAGTCCCAAACGGCTTAT